AGAATCCTTCCCGCTATCCACTAGGCCATCCGATCGTAAAGCTGACCACTGCTTCGATCGTTAAGAAAATTTTCCGACGAGCCGCTCAAAGCTGCTCACTCTTGATCACATGCCACAAATCAGACCCCATTTGCGACTATTTTTCTCTTTGATTCCAATAAGACCTTTATAAGGCCCCCACTCAGCAACTTACCGAAGTTGCAAGTGATTTAGGCTCACAGAGGCTCAAAAACCACCGGTTTCCATAGGTTTTTTTTCACTCCTTTTTTGGTATTTCCAGAGCCGCGTAGAAAAAATGAACATCAGCTTGGTACTCCATGCACGTGACCCTACACCGTGCAAAAAACCGTTTTCAGAAAGCGCTCCACGTCCTGAACGACCTTCCTGGGAAGACAGAGTGGCCATACAGGAGCCCATGGTATAGGATACATTGGAAAGTATCTTGTCCTGGGGGGGGGACTTTTTTAGCTCTGAAGGCTTCCACAACGCCATAACGTACTCGTCTGCGAAAACCACAGAGAACACTCCTCTAATCAGGGTCAAACACAAATTGTATTTTGGTTTTTTCTTGAGCGATTAAGTCAAAGTGTTTCAGGGCTTTTTTCCAACCTTATAGTACGCCTAGACTCTTGCGCTCACTGCGTTGTTAAATTTTAGGGCACTGAATTGAGTGTGAGGATGACGAAGGTGACCGTTTCCGAAACCGGCTTTTTGGGCTCGATCGAGATGCTGAAGCAGCTAAAAATTTAAAAAAATGAACAAGGAACATTGACACCAGGGACTATCGATTCAAGCGGTTTTGCACTGGGATTTGCGACCACGTAAATATGCATGGCACTGAGCGCTCACCTTAGTACGGTGGGGAGCGGCTGAATGCGCGTCCCATGCACCAACGTTTTTAAACCTGTCCCATCGAGTAAAGGTGACCCTCAATGAAAGTGTGGAAGTATTCCATAATCGCTAGTTACTAGGCATCATCTGGCTTTATTCTTGAATGAGTTGATTCTTTTGGCTTACAAACGAACTCGCAAGGGAGGTCTTTCAGGTCGTGGCATGCTTTTTGGAAATGGTTTGTTGCTTGTTGTAGAGGTCCATGGAAGGATCTTAGGAATGGGTTTCATTTTTGCTATGCGTTTCTGGGGAGGTCGAAAATTGAGTGAGAAATTTTGGCAAGAATGGGCAATTTTAACTATCCTAATGGGCTCAATTCTGATTGTAACTCCGAGCATGCATAGTTTATGAGGTGTTCTTTAACTAGGCTTCGAAAATAATTTCAAATAAAGTCAAAATTCAAACATCATGTAGTAACACACTTCGCATGCACTGACGCAACAGTGATGTTTTGTTAGCGGTCCCCTCATGCTAACTGTCGGCGGATCGGATGGCGCAGCGGATAACTCGATGGATTCTGGATGGGACGACGATACGATACTTTGTTTGAAACTATTTTCGAGGAGTAATTAACGAGCACCTCATTAACTGTGCATGCTCGAAGTTACAATGAAAACGGAGCCAACTAAGATAGTTAAAATCGCCCTTCTTATCAAATTCTTTTCACTCAGTTTTTGACCTTGCCAGAGACGCATAGCAAAAATGAAACCCATTTTTGAGGTCCTTGCATGGACCCCTACAACAAGCAACAAACCATTTCCAACAAGCGCGCCACGACCTGAAAGACCTCCTTTGTCAGTGGGGCGAAGGTTGCCTGCAAGGTCAGTCTCTAAATCCTAGAATAGAGACTTCCACCAGCTTGAGCCTTCTTGAGAAAAACAGCCTAGATAAATCAAAAAAAGCACGCTATATTAAACTGGGCAAATCCGCCATTCTGAGCTCTAGAAAAATTTCCATCAAATGATATAGAGCTCAATGACAAATATTTTTTGCCAATTTTAAATTGAAAAACGCCCTTAATTATGGGCTGACCCATTTATAGGCTGAGATGGTGTAGTGGCAAGTGGCACGCTTACCACGCGCATGCTCCGGGTACCACGCGCATGCTCATATCCCGGCTCGGCTCCAGCCTAGCCCAACCAAGTCTCTTACCTACGGAGAGTAACTTGATAATAGATTCGTCTTGGAGGATAATAGTGATTGTCATCGGCTGGCTCCGCAATTCGTTGTATAGGCCACATCGCATTCAATAGGCGGTCTAGTGTAATGCGCGCCACAGAAAGAATCGATCAGCGCAGAAGGTTTTATCCTTTGGCCCAATCATGCATATATAGAGACAGCACTGTGGTCGTAAAAGTGGTGAAGATAGTCTTTTATCTGTTCGTCTCAAATTACCTGTCACCTTCGTTAATGCCCATATTAGGAAGCCTTCATAGTAGTGATGTAACAGCTTTGATAGGTTAAAGACAGCGCCCGCGATGGACCTTGGCAGGTTTCAGGGGTCACATTTGCTAGAACAGGTGACCAATGAAGCACTAATCAAAAAAAAGCAGGAAAAAGGTGTGGAAGAGCGTGAAATAAGACCCTATGAAATTTAAGGCATGTGGACGAGTTTCGCAAACTTTTGGTAAGTGATACACGTCGCCGCCTCGGAACTCTAGAAATTCAGCGTATATCAATGCCAGCAAGGATTGATAACTGTCAACCAGTCGGGGCGGGATTAACAGGACAGGAGGCGTCAGCCCGGCTCTGTTGACTCCGCCCTCGTTAACCAATCGATTTCGAGCCGCAAGAGTGGGATTTCTACTGTGATTGCGGACTCCGCGTTCGTTTTCAATGGAGGGTTTTTTCACTTTGGTTGATCGCGGACGCTGCCTTTAATGAACAACAACAACGTCAGCAACGCCTCTTACCAAACCCTGTCAGTTGTTAGTCCTTTCTGTCACTCATCATTAAAGACAGACTGTGCCCTCACCCCCGTGGATCGTGGTCCTTGCCATGCGTGAGGTGAGTAAGTCCGCAACTGCAGTAGCGGGCCACTTTGTTCGGTCTTATGTGGTCAGGAATGAGGCTGAAGGATAGCTACAGGGTGACCAAAAAGTTCTGGCAGTTTTTAGGAATACTTCGGTTACATAAAAAATACCGTTCGAAAGAGGAAATCAGCCAACTAAACGTCTGGGAGTCTTCATCTAATCAGTACCAATGACCGTATACAACGAAGTTCCAACAAGTGTTCAAAAATGCCTCCTTCAGCCTCAACACATTTACGTAGTCGTTTGCCAAAGTGTCCGACAATGGTCGCGCATTCTTCTGCTGTAGTTTGGTCCTAAACCCGTAACAACGGCACTTTCAGGTGGTAAACCGTTGCGCATCGAATTCCTGAGATTTTTCGACCCAGATGGAATAATCCATGGGGTTCGAACCATGCTAGTTGGGAGGCCAAACGTCCTTGCCCCAAAATTGGGAAACAGCTCTCCACAAGCGGCAGTTCGTGGGTTTGGCAGGATGTGCCGGCTCCCAGTCTTGCTGAAGCACATGTCCATCCGGGCCGAAGTGCTACGACACCCATGGCTTCAGTACATCGCGGAGAACGCGTTTTTGGGAGTAGAAAGCATTAATCTTTACGATGCGCTCGATGAAGAAAGGAGAGGTCTTTCCGGTGGCACAGATCCCGCCTCAGACCGTGACTGAGGCTGAAAAGAGTCTGCGTCTGACGGATTTCACAGCCGTTGCCTTCTGTTGACCTTTTCTGAGGAGCAGACAACAATTCCGGTAGTTGTGATTGAAAATTTTTCACGTCGGTGGCGAGCACATTCTTCGAGCAACAAGCACCGACCAGAAGATGGGTTTCAACAACTGCAACTTTTTGATTTTTTCGAGACAGTGCGAGGAGAAATCGAAAGTGATTGAATAGATGACTCGTACGGTAGTTCGAAATGGCTTGCGGAATACAAATAACCCATCGGAGAGAAAACATACTATAATGGCCATTCAAAAACGCACAAACACGAAATTGCCAGAACTTTTTGGTCACCCTGTATACTTAAGTGCACCATACTCTGCCCGCGCTGCCACATGCCTGATCACGCTTCTTGTCTGCGCCCTTTCAGCTCAGCTGCACCTTGAGCATAGCGCGGCGAAGCGGAGGCGGCACTTGGGCCACTATCCGACAGCTTCGCTGCGCACTTTTGACAGGAGAAAGTGGCTACTACAGCTGCGGCCTATTTACCTTGCACATGGCATAGGCATACACTCGAAGGCGAAAGTTCAACAGTTACGATTTGATGAACAAGATGACCATTTCTAGGAATCAATGAATTCGCGCATTGGGGTATTGTTTTGCTTGAAGTACCTCGTGCTGTTCCAGAAGGGGACTCGGAAAACGGCTACAGACTCGGAAAAAGGCTCCCGCACATCCATTAGTATGTTATTGGAGAGAAACCCCCCAGTATTCAGGGTTAAACGGCATAATCCCATCATACACACGCTTGACCTTGGTTCAAGAGCTTAAAAACTGAAAGGTTGTGGAAAGTGCATGGTCATTCTTGAATCTCCCATTCGTAGTACAGGATTCGTTAAAGGCAGTCGGCACGATGATTTGGTGCTCGGCCCAAAATGCTAGTAGGGCGCTATATAGTGGGGGGAAATGGCGAGAGAACGGTGTGAAACGGTCAAAATCCTGCGAGAAATGAGCCTCCATGTGTTATTGTGTCCACAATTCTGGACGAGTTTCCCGTAGGCATCCTGCCAATAACCGCTACCGAAAGTACGGCTGCATATGTGTACTCATACATCCATGCAGCATCACGGTCGCTTCACATCAGTCCCTCCTCTTCATAAGTTGCTGAGCGAATGAATCACGAGCTTGAGGAAATGTCGTCCATTTGTGGGCGGGCGGGCGTTTGGGTCGGGAAGTTGTGGCTTGATAGGGCCCTTGTCAGGGCACCTCCCTTGGAAGGGCATCATGCAGCGCCTGCTTATGGTCGCGGAATTCCGTCCTGCCAGGCGTATTAGTGCTCGTTTTGGAGGATTTATCGTGCCACCTGCATTTAATAGTGTTTCTTAGTGGGTGCTTACTGCAACGAGAGCATGGAAGCTTCAGCGATCACTCAATTGGAAATGTTTGTAAGCAAGATACCTATGATACCTTCGTAGGTCGGTCGTAATTCTATTGTATAGGAATACTTGACTTTAAGTTTCTCTTTTGCCCAATCTGTAGAGCCTCCGGAAAATGCGTCTGAAATCTTGGTTTCTTCTGAGTGTGGAGGTTTGTAAAAGTCACGTTGATACTCACAGATGATTTCCGGTCCAGTGCCATATCGATAGCGTGTTCCGTACATCTTTCCTAGCTCTGCAACAGCTTTTTGGGCAACTCTCTTCTGCAATTTTTACAATAATCATGTTACAACAATTTCAAAACTAGTTCTTACCGTCTCATCGATATCGGGGGCGTAAGTAAATTTACGATGTGAATAGGAATAGATCCATAGTTGCGAGTACGCGTGCAGAGTTATGTAACCTTCGAGCCGGCCTCGCAAAGACATTAGGAAATTTGAGAAAGCTCTGAAAGAATTGTAAGCTACTCCCTTTTCGAATGGCTGAGCATAGACGGATGGGTTTGGATATGAACACGGATGCTTCCTTGTTGAATGGCGTGTTATGGTTCTACACATACTTTGATTCCGGTTCACTGAATGGAGTAGATCCATGGTAGATTTCGGAGCAAGGGTAGCGAGAGGCACCAATTTCTGGAACCAAATTTTATTAATCTGATGGGAATCCTCCCCATGTTCACTACTATGAGGCTAGTTTGCGGCCACAAATGTATCACTTTCGTTGCACTTAAATTCGTGACAAGATAGCTAAAGGCTCTTAATCCGTTGGTGTTACTCAAGGACCACACTGCAAGCTCTGCTCCTATGTGCCTTCTCACAGACTTTGTGCTTGTTGCTAGACTTGATTGAGATAGCTCAGACCTCAGTGAGGTCCAACATCGCATCATTCCAGCAGGAACTCTGGTCCTGAACGGTTTCCTCAAAAGGATGATATGTGTTTCCGTCGGCGATCCAACTGCAGCTTTGCCAGAGCAAATGCCTTGCTCCTCGAGGTGTTTGTCAATGGGGAGGGCCTGTTCTACGCTTATACTACTCTTCGTTTCTTATTGGAAATCTGTGTTTTCGATATATGCGGAGGACTGTTTATATACCACTTTGAACACTATCCAGTTGAGGTTAAACTCTACACTCACCTCCGAAGACGGTTCCACCACCTGTGAGACGATTGGGTCCGCAGTTGCACTAGCTTTCCACCGTCTCCGCTAAAAAGTGCGCGGCAAGGGGGCTGTAGGATAGTGGCACCTGTAGTTAGCGGGCGGGTATGGAGTCGGAGTGTAGTGATAACTAGTGCCGCCTTCGTACTCCGCCGCGCTATGCTCAAGGTGCAACGCTTGCGTTTACCGCGGATCCGCTGTGAAACACGCACTATGCAGTTTAGAACAAGCGGAAGTGAGAGGGCGCAGACAAGTAGCGCGCTTGGCTACTTGTCTGCATTTGGACGCAGCGCCGGCTGAGCATGGAGAAGGCACCCGGGTATCACTACCAGGACACTTCCTGCTGCTGGGGGAAGTTTTTGGAAAATACGACTCCCTACCGCAACTTCGCCTTCATTCACGACCCCCCCCCCCTCCCTCCGTCTCATCCTACCTAATGTCTTTCATACCTTGCCAAGTTTTCGAAGCCGTAGCTTCCTATCACTGTTATCAGCATTTCCTCAAGATTTTTACAAAAGCTTTCTGAAGGGGGTGGAGGGGGGGGGTATATAGCATCATCGCTTGAAGGCAGCGCCCGCGTTCACTTGTTGTTCTCACGCCCTCTTTGGATATCGTCGCTCACCCTGAGGAACGTGGTCGTACAAGTTTCGCAACTCCAACAACTCGCCGAGAGAAACGCGGCGCCCGCTTGTGAAGAGTCAGCCACTCCGAAAACAGCGTTCCCGTGCATTTTTAACCGGAAAGTGATGCTAATGCAGCTGAGGGCAAGTTCGCTCTATACACAGCAAGGAACAGGAGGGGAGCTGAATGTATACACTGCTCCACATAATGATAGATCCACCCATAAATATTACAAAATCCCGTCTCACTGAGGTTTTCAAAAATGTGCTCACATAGAAAATGAGATAATAATCAATACCACTTTGCATGCCAACATCGGGAACTGACTTGAAAGAACAAGGTTTTTTTTGTTCATTTTTTTTTTGAAAATTGACACTCTGACAGTTCCACATTCTGCCAACAAGTGCACAATAAAATGAGTAAATTTTGATTCAATAATCTATTGGAACTCTATTTCTCCAATTAAGTTGGAAAATACGGTTGCCCATGTTCGATTAGAGATTTTAATAGGCTGTCGGTCGACTGCCCCAATGATTAACCACCTAAGCTCACGGATTTTGTGGAATTGTGCATTATTCTCATGGATCATACGCACCATGAAGCTCCTCATATCCTCGATTGGGTTTTAGTCGCGGCTACTCGCTGGCTAGCGCAAAAGAGCGGTCTGGTGACGACTGAACCACGCTCGAGTGCTCCGACTGTCATGAACTGGTGCATTATCCTGCATGAAAAGGGGACTTCCTTCCTGATATCTACGCCAGAAAGCAAGGCAGACGGTCGTCGCATGACTTTTAGGTAACGGAAGATCATTTCTTATTTCATACGGAGCGCAGTTTCAGACGTTCTATTGATGCGATGGCAGGCCAGACCGTGAGACCACATCCACTGAAGTTCTGCCCGGAAAAATGAAACTTGTCTTCCCTCAGGTCGTACCAGCGGAATCGATTCTCGTCGGAGCCGTCGCAGTTGAACTTTCCCTCATTAGAAAACACGACCGCGAGAAAAAAAACTGAAAAAAACAACGTAGACAAGCAGTAGGGCGCCGCAGCCAAAAACCAACCTCACTTCATTGGGCTCGGCAACATCTTCAAGCAAAGCCAATTAGGTCTTCCCGATGGTTTTTCGTTAGAAACAGTACGTAACTCAGTCCTCCTATGGAGAGTTTTTCAAGAGACGCCTGAGGTATTCTCCGAGACATTTGACCTCCGAAGATGTCTTTCGCGACATGACACTGCAGAGTTGGAGGTTTTTCAAGGATACGGCGGTTATTCCGATCGGGCAGCAAGGGAGGATGTCCAGAGCTCTTATCAGCTCAGTATCCTGCGGGTCCCTTGGAAAAAATCGTTAATAGCATGATGAGTGCGGCCTGCATCCAGCGCCATTCGACGGTTCGACAGTTTTTGAGTCTTCTTTGCGATTATCTGTCCTTTTTTAAGCGCCGATAATAAATGTCCTCTTGCCACAGCCTAGAAAAGGCAAAGACACAATAATTAGACAGTTTTACCCAACAAAAAAAGATGCAGAAAAAAGAAGAAAAAACATGAGGTGGAACTATCATTTTGTGGAATTGTCAGAGTGTCAATTTTCAAAAAGATGAACAAAAAAACCTTGTTCTTTTAAGTCAGTTCCCGGCGTTGGCATGCAAAGTGGTATTGATTATTACCTCATTTTCTATGTGAGCACATTTTTGAATACCTCATGTGAGACGGGATTTTGTAATATTTATGGGTGGATCTATCATTATGTGGAGCAGTGTAGTCTGCTTTGGAGCACATGTGCATTGTGCCTTTAATGGCTTGCGTTTAACTTGGTCTACTCAGATATGCAAAAAACGGACGCAAGCCTGCGCGGCAAAAATAGCCAAAAGTGGCTCAACCTTTCAGCTAGCAGTCGTCAAATTATTTGCAACGTGTATGAATGAAGCCCCTGCCGCGGCGGCAGCCGTTCAGAAGAATTTACCTGCGAAACGAAAGTCGAAATTTCTGTTCAGATCGACACCTTGACAACAAGCGTTGGATATGCCGTCGAAGGCGCACGCTTTTGCTGACCTGGACTTGCGCCACATTCGGGCCTGAAAGAGGCGAGCTTGGTGAGTTTCCCTCCCAGAGGTGTGATATGGTAAGTACTGGATTGATCACTATGTCTACCTTCAGTAGATTAGGCCACTATTGTATGGACTAGTGATACGAGCCATTCATTGGAGAATCTATTGTTTCACTGAACCATGTGAATAAAAGTTTTCATAATTCTAATGTCACAGAGGGATTTGGTCATATATGGTGATTGATAAACTAGTGATGAGTTGCTAATTCTTTTAGTCAGTTCTTACTCTCGGGTTGGTCTTATCAGTTCTCGTGTACTCGTAGCCATCTGGATTGAGAACGGGGAAGATGTAGATAACAAGGTTTTCCAGGTAGCCACGTATTTTTGGATCGTCTTCACGGTTGTTGACAATCTGCAAATGACTTCTTGCTGTTATAGAAATGGGACTCTAGAAATATTGTTTTGAATTTAAAATATGAGCAGCCTACGAGATTGATGAAGTACATTCCTGTGTGAACGGCGGCCCATTCGCGAGCGTGAATACCAGCATCAATAACCACCACTTTTTTATGAGGACTGTTTTGCCCAAACTGCAACAGTTATCCTTACATTCTATAAACCACTAACTCTGTGTGTCGGTTTGTCGGTATTATGTATGTATGTCTGTCCGTCCGCAAAGTGCTTCACTGGTTCAAACACGTCAGTGTAGGAGAGTATACGACTGCTAGCCGGTGGCGAAACCAGTTGCAGATGTATCAATCCAATGTTTTGATTGTGATAACACCCTGCACTATATAAGAGAACCGTGTAGTGCACTCCAAACCATTGCACAAGCTGCTTGCGTGGCAGGACGTGAGCACGTGCAGCGGCCGGGATGAGGAGTGGGTGGGGCAAGTGGGAGTGGGGAGGGTATAACGTGGTGTGTGGGATTAGTGAGGGAGAGTACGGAAGAGGAAGCATAGAGGGCGTTAATAGAAACTCATCATAAGTGTGGTAATAAAAGCGTCAATGAAAGCGATAAGGTGAATAGAGGAAGGATAAACCGCTAGCATAGTCGCGAATAAAATCCATGTTTTGGTATCACTTTGAGGCATTGTGTGGTTGTTTACAGTCCTCAAATTACCGCTTAATCGTTTCATTGACGCTTTATTACCACCTTTGTGATAGTTTCTATTAGCTTGTCCGGAAAGTTCTTAGCGTTTTGTGCAGGCTATTTTTGTGGTACTATTCACATGCTGTTTGAAACATCTTCTGCCTTTTGCTTCTCAGTCACCATCCTGTAGAGGATTTCTTGGGGGCGCTATCTGATGGTATATTGCCGTTTCACCATTGCTTATTGAACTCGCCTTTTTTTCACAGATTTTTTTCAACAATGTGAAAAAGAGCACTTCGAACCGATTTTTTTCTTCGGCTATAAATTGGGGCAATCACGCAGCCGACAAACGAGCTCAGCAACCTAACCAGTTGTGGGGGCCCAATAGTGCTTGAGAAAGCACTGTGCTGCAATGGCTCAACAAAGTTCGTTCAGGAGATTTCAGGCATTGAAGACGAAACCTGCATGGCAGTCGACTAAACAATATCTGCGAGGATTTTTGAGGAGATTTTTGAAGCTGACCATTCCGCAAACAGTTCGAGAGATTGCAGAAAAGCTAGTCGATTGCTAATTCCAGTGTTGTACGATTGTTGAACGCATTGGGAGGTGG